TTGGACCATAATTTTTTTACCGATTATTTTTCTTATCGAATGGTTTTTCTTTTGAACGTAAGAAGATTTTTACAAGATACCGACCTCAAATATCTCCTATGAGATGCATATCTATATGCTCTTAAGCGATCGCATTTTGGAGATGTCTATGAACAAGAGCAGAAAGACAAAAACTAAACATTTTATATGAATAAAAATCTTTCTCAACGATATGAAACTCAATAACTTTATTCAACAGTGTATCTAATTTGTAAGAGAATCTAGTTTAAAATAGAAACTAGTTTCCCCTCCCATTCTTTAGAATAATTGTTTGGTATAAAACGCTAGTTTGCATTGTTCAGCTTAAACCTCATTGCTGCATTGTTTAGCTTTTATTCAGAAATAAAAAGTATGCTTATATATTTTAAGAAGATGGAGAGTGAAAGTTAACAAAAAGTGATTGGCATATGAGAGTGAATAATTTTGCTAACATTTTTTATATTTGTATTGAGAAGAATTCTCCACACAAAAAGTAATAGCAATCTCAATGGATACAAATAAAGTGGCTCGTTCTTATGTTAGAGCTTGTCACGTATAAAATAGATAATATCAATTTGAACTATGAAAAAGTTTACACATGAATGTGTTTACATAATTTCAAGTGTGGGGGTCATGTTTTCTTAAGAATACCCCAAACTCCTCAATATATTTGGCGCGAATCTTTATCAGGGACATCCGAAAGATTTAATGATAAATCATGTTGTTTCTGTCCCCTGACTACTCAACCATAAACAATTTTAAAAATTAAAAAGTGTGAACGTTGCCCCACGGTGAACAACATCACATATATAACCCTCAATTTGATCTGTCGATTGTTATGACTCTTGCTAGAATTTTTTTGCTTTTCAAAACAAAAACACATTTATTGTAATAAAAATTTGATTGAATATATATTTTACATTCAATTAAAAAAAAAGAAGGTATGAACGTTCAACGTAATTAATAACAATAATTAAAGCCAAGTAATATATGACTTTATCTATTGAATTATCCAAACTTTACCCAAACTTTACCCAAACTTTTGTAGAGTTGGATCAAAATACTTGTAAATCTAAGGTAAATTAAAAAATTGCCGTGGAGTTGTTCACCGAATATAGTACGTGTTATCATCAAAACCCTACGGACAATACAGAATGTAGATTCTTTTTTTTCTTTTTCTTTTAAATGTAAGTCTTTGTACAATTATTTGAGGGTTTGGAGTTTGTATTTGGCGTGAAGGAAGTGGAAAATGTCTCAATTAGAAAAGAAGAAGGCGAAAGCCGCTTTTTGTGGCTCGACTAATCAGGTGCCAAAGATGTTATTTTTTTAGGACGAAATAAATCAATCAAACTCTATAACCAATGAATACAAAAATCCATAATAATTGAATAATATAAAGTGAAAAGAGAATGTGTGATTGGGGAGAGAGCAGTCGCCAGCTAGCAAGTGGGATACATCTGTCTCTAAGATTAAAACTTTAATTGAGTGCCACCCAAACATTTTGAATTGGTTACTATTACGTACATGGCTTTATGTAGTGCTCTTCAAATTATCCTCAATATGCATTTCGGTTTCTTATTAATTTTTGTCTTGATATAAAAAACCATATATAACCATAGATTTTAAGAAACAGAAGAAATATTAAAAAATATATTAGAAATGAAACAAATTACAATTGCCAAAGTTGAAAAAAACGGGTATATGTATATTTTAAAAAATTAGTGTGTGGTTCTAACCAGTATTTCATATAAATAAGATGCAAACATGTGGTAGCTTTAGGTCAATAACAAAACTAGGAGGCTTAGTTAAAAACCATTAAAAAATCAGAAACACACAAAAAAGGTGGGTTCGATATGCCGGATATAAAAAGGAAAATCGTTAGCGTATTCTATCATTTTGGTGAGATTATATACAACAGAGGATAAGAAAGTCGATGTTACTAGAGAAAGATTGAGATAGTTGTTGAGGTTATAAAGGAAAAGCTTATTAAGAGAGAAAATTTTTATTAAGAGTCTGATAGAGAGATAATGATTAAGAATCAAATCTCTTTCTTAATGACAGAATAATTATTTTTATAGAGGATTTTTGTTCCACACTAGTACACCGTATAGAACAGAAGATTCACTAGATTTGGGGTACGAAGTATTTGAGTGCTTCACCAATTTTTCATGTTGTATGTGACAACTGGTCGATAAATATATAAACTTTAGCTATTTGTGAGAAAGCAAGGCGGATTTAACACGATATATCAAAACTCCGACACACATAG